TATCAGCTTTGTCTTAAGATGTCTTCAGTTTTATTTTAGGAGAAACGTTAAACTTTAAAAAATATTGTAAATACTAAAACTATCATTTAAATAGCATTAAACATTTCAGAATATCAATATTACTATTACTAATATTACTAGTTTAAATGTTATAATTTATCTTCAATGTCCAGCACTGTATATACCCCACACACTAGAAAGGACTTACAAGTGCAAGATGTTTAGTATAAACATATACTACTTTTTTATTTTATTTTTATTTTTACCTTTTTTAAACAAGTGTAACACTAGTGTACCAGTGTTTTTTTTTTGTTTTGTTTTGTTTAGTATTAAAATTTTGTCTTGTACAACCCATTTTTGCATGTATGTAAATATAGGTTATGGTTTCCTCTGTTAAATCACTGTGCAATAAAACACTGTCTATATAAAACAACTTCAAATATGACAATGCATATACTGTCTTTGATTGAAATGGTGTAGATAAATGACATTGAAGCTAACCAGAGGCAAGACAAATAAAATAAAAAAAGAGATCTCTTTACCTTTCAAATATTTCTCCTAGACAGAAATGAGTTTACATTAAGATTGAATGGACACTTTTGCTTGAGTCTCCTGCTTCTCAAGCTTGTCTCCTGAGACAAAAACACTAACACTCTCACAATGGTCTCCTTTAAATCTTTAGAAGAGATCTCAACAACTTTACACACTGTGCTCAGATATTTCTCCTTAGCGACACTGGATCTCTCACATTTGTCTCTTTTAAAGCCTTAGAAGAGATCTCAACAACATCACACACTGTGCTCAGATATTTCTCCTTAGCTAGAGACTCTGGATCTCTCAAATTTGCCTCCTCAAAAATTTAGAAGAGATCTCAACAACATCAATTGTCAAGAGACAAATTTGAGAGATCCAGAGTCTCTAGCTAAGGAGAAATGTCTGAGCACAGTGTGTGATATTGTTGAGATCTCTTTTAAAGCTTTAAAGGAGACCATTGTGAGATTGTTAGAGTTTTTGTCTCAGGAGACAAGTTTGAGAAGCAGGAGACTCAAGTAAAAATCTCAATTCGATCTTAAAGTAACCTAATTTCTGTCTAGGAGAAATATTTGAGATGTTAAAGGGGTCATATGATCTCACTTTTGATTTTTCTTTCCTATGTGTATGGTATCTGCTTTGGGAATTGTTCCGTGTGGGAACTTTAGTGCGCAAACAATCGTGTACTGTTAATTAAGGTGAACATTTAACAAAAGAAGCCTTTACGCTCTTCTACTCTCTGATGCACACACACAAAAACCATTTAATACATTATATCCTCACACTCAAACATACAAGCCCACACAGAGAGCAGTTTAGCACTTCTTCAGGGGTGATCATTAAGCCTGACGTTTACTTAGGCCGTGTCAAGAACAGCTGGTCATCTCAGCAGGGTCAGCAAAAGGCCAGCCTTGTCATAACAATCAGATACAAATGTGATATTTTTCTTGACACAAATCAGCACGGATGAGTGATGCTGTATTTCACTGCAAGGAGATGCTACACAGATTCAGGGGCGCAGCAACCATGTTAACTGTAAATTGGGTCAAGAGGCTAAGAAGTTGCATCTGCATTGGGCCGAAAGATGCATCTTCATCACAATACAAGAAAAATTCTGTAAAAAAATAATCCATTTTAATGGTAAATGACTGTAAAATTGCTACCGTAAAAACCTGTTAATTGTTTAACAGCAAGATTTACACTTTAAGCTACATTCGTAAAACTTAAAATGCTGCTACCATATTTTATTATAGTAAAGTTCTGGCAACCAAAGATGCAATTTTTATCATAAATTTCACTTTTTTTTTTACAGTGTAAGGCACAGATGATGTGAAATGATTACAAGAACATTATAAGTGACTTTGTCCTCACAAAACATGCTCAGTGTCAGGCAACCCACTGGCTGATCCACACTACCCATCTGTCCTGGATAAGTAATTCTATAAAATGAACAAGTAGATCAAATGGGAGAGATAATCTACAAGTTTACTCTCTACAGGGTGTCCCTATTTAACACAGTCTGTGTACTGGAAGCAGAAGGAACCATGCAAAGAGCACAAAGCATCCTGGAAGCTAATGGCCAACTATTGTCTAACCATAGAAGGAAATAACCAGCCTACAGATGTACAAACACACACACACACACACACACACACACACACGCAAACCCTGAGATGGATGACTCTCATTGCAAGTGTCAGGATCAGTTTACTTCTGCTAAGTATCACAGCTTTCAAGAGCATAAAACAGATAGACCAGTGCTGGACCAGGCTTATTTCATTATGAGTGCAGTCTGCCATATAAGTGGAAAACAAAAGGAAGTGGGTGAGAAAAATGGAGACAGCCTCAAAATCAAAGGAATGTACATGGACGGATGATGTTTCAAAAAAACTGAACATTACACCATGGTCTACTACAGAATTATGATCAAGTGGAATGGCTGTTTTTTTATGGAATGGCAGAAAAAATGACCACCATACTAATTTCTCTATTATCAAACTGGATGAAAGGATTTAGAATGAAAAAAAAAACCTAAGGTTACAAAACAACACATAATATATCAGATCCATTGCTAATATTTAATAATGCTGTTGTTTTCCTGTAAACTAAATAAAAACGAATATGATTTCCATCTTTAAAATGCCTAAGTTTAATATTTTATCCCGTATAATAATATTTCATAGAGATATGGAAATGTACTTTAGAGTAGGAATGACCCAGGAAGCACAGCATGAGCAAAGCAGAAAGAGAAAACAGGGATATTAAAACATACTCCTGTTATTCTGACAACTGTGAAGGAGCTAGTAAACATTGCAAAGTCTAGAGGAAAAGAGAGTGAGGAGGGGGTTGAGGGAAAGACTGAGAGCATGAGAGAAAGTGAGAGATCTAAAGAGATGGGAGTCTGGAGGCGGGAGAAATGTCTGTGTGTCATGGCAGATAGAGAATGGAGGGCTTTGAGATTCTCAGCCATCTGGCACTTTCCTCTAGGCCTTCACAAATCTCTTCTATAATCACAGCGGCTGTGCCTTCCCTCCTTCTCCTTATGTGCTATTTTATCTGTCCATCATGGGGGTCAGGAGCAACATTCAACACATTGCATGGTATCGAGAGTAAAGATGAGGATAAGGTGGAGGTAACCTGCCACAAAACAACAAAGAAGTGTTATGTCTGACTGATATAATTATTGTTTGTGAAAAATCAGAACAAAGCTGCTTTGTACAAAACACATCTGTTAATACTAATACTAAAGCTTTAGTTAGTTATAATGAGGCCATGATTTAGTTGTCGCTCTCTATTATTACTGTAGAAAGAAATTCCAATCTTTTAGGACATTAGGCATACATTTCTATTAACTGCAGAGCCATTTACTATGACAGCTACAGGGTAAAAGCCCTCACTTGAGGCCAAAATTTAACTTACCAAAATTACAAGAACATTAAAAGGCCCAATCATAAACTTTTATAGCTTTATTTCTTTGAAGCCCA